ACCTCTAAAGACACGTTGTCTGAAGGACAAAGTCTTTGACAAGAGGAATTGAAACAGCAGATTTAGGGAATGGAAAAAGAACGCTGCACATTGTGTGTGTGTGTCTGTATTTGTGTGTGTGTTTTTAATTAGAATGTTTAAGTCTCCCTACAACTAGCCGCACATGAAAAGCGAGGAACCAAGAGGTGGAGGGGGTGGCTGTAAAATTACCCTCAATCCTCAAGCTGAGTTTGTTGTGACTACAATGCAGCAGTAAAACAGAAATCTGGACACATCCCCCCAGAGAGTACAGTAACTTTTTCCAGAGGTTCCAGAGTTTGCACAGACTAACTTGGGAGCAAAAACACATGGACAGGGCAGGACAGGGCATGCCCACACATAATGTGAGACTTGTGGTTGCTCTTTTTCTTGACCTGCTCCTGCTCTCATTTCATAAAAAAAACGAAACCAGCAGCAGAGGTTACCCTTCTTTTAATATGTCGTGGTAGTAGCTCAGCGGCACAGTCATACTTTGACCCTAAATGCCCCCCCCCCCCATCCTTCATAACCTCCACTGGCTCCCCATCGCAGCGTATCCACCCTCCTCATAATCACCTTTAAAACACCCCATAGGCACACTGCCACCCGCACTCTCAGGTCTGCTGACGCAAACCTCCTGTCCCCCCCTTCTGCAGGACAAATCATCAGTCCTGGGGGCGACAGGGCCTTCTCCATTGCCACTCCCACCCTCTGGGACTCACTCCCAAAAAAAACTCCCCCTCATTCTCCACCTTCAAGAAATCCCTAAAAACTCACCTCTTCAACATCGCCTACAACCACTAACAAACTCTGTTCTCATCCTCCTGCTTTTACATTATTTCTTTGTTGTTTCGTGCTCACTGTTTTGTTGTTATTCTTTGTTAAGTGTCTTTGAGTACTTAGAAAAGCGCTATAAAAATCAAATGCATTATTATTATTAATGTCAGCATGCTAACATTACATCGCTAATATGCTGATACTTAGAAGGTTCAGTGTTTACAATGTTCAAAATTGCAGTTTGGCCTGTAGTGTACCATTATTTGCTTATTAGCTTCACAGACAAAGCACAGCGGAGGCTGATGGTATTAAATCATTCCTATTTTGGCAGTCAAACACAGTTATTGGAAATGTTTTGATGAAAAAAAATCTATGAACCAAATCGTACTAGATCAAATATCAGGCTTTCACCAACACTCAGTCTGGTTCAGTGGATGAGTTTCTGTACAATGCCATGATAACCACCATAACATTATATTATTATGTAATGTATCTGTGTTATCAACTTATCATATCAACTGCTGTTACCCAGGCACACACTTATATAACATTCTGTGTAATTCCAGTCTTTCTCTTTGCTATCTAACTGACTCAACATGCATCATCAACATCTGTTGCAGATCGTTAAACTTCACAGCAGTTTCTGTGAAATGTAGCAAAAAAAACCCTCTCAGCTCATGAATCTCAAACCAGCAATTTCGGTTGGCTTGACGGGAAAACATGGCAAAACAACTTTTATAACACATTTAGTCAGCATTTTTTTTAAACCGACTCAAATTAAAGAGTAAAGCAACATCTAAAAATATCTATAGGGCACTGGAATGGTTCAGTTGATGTCAATAAATCAAATAAATTGACAACTTACTCAGCATCAAACAATTATCTCTGACACTTCCCGGGTACTCTTGTTCTTTTGCCAGTGCTCTGCCCCAAAATAACTATTACACTGGGGCTTACGTAGCCAAAAATGGTAATACAAATAAAAGGAGCAAATGGAGGGGCATATTTAATCAGAAAGTAAACTGCAGTCTGCCAGGAATTAGAAGTTGGAATAGCCAGACAGTTGGAGATGATTCAAGGTTAATTTGGGAACCTGGTTTCAGTTCAAAAACAGTTTCTCAAAGTCCAGAGGGGTTAGTTTGGATTTAACAGGAACAGCAAAAAAATGATCCTATCAACAATTTTCATTAAACAGTCTGCTATGCAGTCTAATTTGGTTTTACATGTACAAAGAGCATAAAACTCACATTCATTACCCCTCTGGTTATCAAACCAAATCTTTTTATTTGATCTCCGTTCTGCATGAATGAATGAACTCTTTATTTCTATTTGGGTAATTTGTTTTGCATCAAGAACAAAAAAAGGACATCAATAACCATACTGGTCAGCATAACAAAATGAACAAAATGAACAAAATTCATAAAAATAAATCATTAAAGCCTTTCATGTTTACATGTAAGGGGTGCCATGAATTATATTATAAAAAGCTTGCCACTGTTATGATTTGACTAAGAGACAGAGTTTTAGAATTTAAAGCAGAAGCCGAACTATGGGTAATGTGTTAAATAAAACTGCAGTGCACTCACTAAAGACTGCTAAAGACTAAAAAAAAAACAATTTTATTAAACTATGTGCACAAAAAAAGTATTTGTTTGACAAAAAAAATCCAAAAGGATATCTTTCTTCTTTATATTGTATTAAAACTCATATACACTGGCATGCACATACATTCCTGAGATAATACATCCCTGCAGCTGTTCCAGGGAGTGAAAAATGGACTATGCCAGCTCCCAGGGTGCACTGTGAGAAAATAGATAACAGAAGAAAAGCAATATTGCGTCATCACCATCTCCTTCACCTTGGATTCAGGTCAACTGAATACTGTTTCGTTTTAGAGCATTTGCATTCAAAGTATTCAGTCAGCAGCCCTTTGCCGCTGCTCTGTGTGGCCAATTGCATGACAAATGTTGGCGATATATCACAGTAAATTGCTATAAACTGCCACCTGCTGGAGAGACACTGAAAGTGTAAAGTAAGATTTTGGATTTATGCGCTTGTTAAAAAATTGTTACAGCTTTGTTGAATATCTCCATAGCAGAATCTAAGAAGGCTAATGCTCACATGCAAACAATTGACTGTTAATAATTACACTTTAAACAGTTTATGACAGGACAGCCGATGTGAAAATGAGGAGTTTCAGTGCAGCGCAGGGACGTGCTGCGTCGCTGCCATGGTAACCGCAAAACGCTATCGAGGAAGTGCGAGAGAAGTCTGTGATTGAGTTTTGTTAACATCAACATTAGCTGTTTTTACACGATTTAAAGCACATAGTCTTGCAGTTTTATAGGGGAAAAAAATAGCCGAGCATTGAGAAAGTGTGTCAAGCGTCTTAAAATTCAAAAGTAAGTCGATTGCATTGATGTTTGCACGTTTTTTTTTTGTTCTCCTGGGTTTTATAGCATGTTCGTCTGTCGCTGCATGACTACAGGGTCTTGTTATTTTAAATCAGTTTTTGCATATAGTAGGCTAGAAAAACAACAACGAGAGAAACAGTTGCATACTTTTCTGCTTTATTTGCACTAACAATGACTTAACAGTGGGTTTAAATGGGTCACAAAACTAAAATATTGCATGCTTTTTATTTCACCTTAAAGTGACATACCTTTTTTTTTTAAATAAAGGATGATTTCATTTGTAAAACTGTACCTCTGAGTAATTGGCCTATATGTTCTTGTTAACATATCATTTTTCATTTTTACTGGTTGAGGAAAAGGGCTATAAATTCACCCAAAGTCAACCATAGTCTCATAACAGACTGGTCAATCTGTCACTGTCTATGTGTTTTACATTAGTGAGTCTATCTGAGGAGCAGCAGGGAAACAGGCCTCCTAGCAGAGCTGGAGTTGAGGTGGAAGAACAAAAAGAAAACATCCCTTTGGTGGCACTTGCACCTGATGCTCCACTCCCGGAGGAGCAGCCCTCTCCTACAGCTGCTGTCTCTGCTAATCCTGCTTTCCAGTGCCTAGATGAGGTAAGACTCTTAAGCAAGAAAAACATGAAGATTTCCAAAAAAAAAACTGTGTTGTGTCCTAGGGATCTAATTTGTTTTATCACACATTACACAAGGCAAAAAAAATCCCTTGTTGTTTCATTTTTTTTTTTTTTGTGAAATTGCTGTTTAGAATAGAACATGATACAGGAGCTGGATCAATTTGTATCAGGACGATCTCCATAAAACACGTGCGATTCTTGAATGAATATAATAGTCAGTTGTTGTCTATAATTTGCTGATCTAAAAATGTGTTATGGAAGAGGTAAACTAATGGTTAACAATTCACTCCTCATTTGTTTCTATAAACTATGTCAGTGTTTCTTACCATTGGCTGATGATAACGAGGAGTTACCTCTTCATTTGTTCCTCCTTTGATCCATAGTAACTATGCCAAATTTTTACCATGAACAGTTTGTGGGGGAAAAATGACATAGTTACCAGGAAATTGGGACTAATTAAGAGTGAACCATTAGTAGACTTATCATTAGTAACTTTGCAATTAACTAGTTGTTCTCTAGAAGTCAATTCCTTATGTATTCCTCATTTGTTCCCTAGCTGCGATATCCAGTTTTTTAACTATACAATGGTTTGCTTGTAGTTATTTACTCATTTTTTCCCCTTGTGATAAATCCCAAATTTCTCCCCTGAACTAAAGTATAACTAGTAGTTTGTTCCTCACTTGTTCCCTGGTATTATTCCTCCCCATTAAACTAGATACATTCAACTAGTAGTTAGTTACTTTTCCATTCCTCATTCGTTACCTCGCTTCTATGCCTGAAACAACTTTTTTTTTATCAATTTGATTATCACATAAAGAAAAAAATACATTAAGTCACAGGCACACGGTTTGATCATTTATCCTCTGTGGAGTTAATTTGAACTCATTCTTTTATTGAGTTGCTTTATTGAGTCTGCACCTCTTTAACTCATTTTTTTTATTTTTTTATGTGCATGCAGCGACTCATCCCTCGGTTTATAAATGCTTTAAATAGCCCTAAATGTTCAACTACAAACTCTGCAGAGTTTTGGAGACCAATGCAGAACGTACATTTGGGTATAGATTAATCAATAGGTTACGAGAAAATAAAAATCATTTTAAAAACAGGGCAAAAGTTTGATCTAAAACAACAAAACACTTCAATGTACACCGCCATGTAATTAGAACTTTATTCATCTTTTGATATAAAAAGTGCATATCTTTTGGCATGACAGCTGAATATGACTGATAGAAAAGATCAATATTGTACACACACAAAGCTCCAAATACACACACATAAGTACTATGAATGGTCACAATAATGCACAGTCTTTATCATTGCTCAAATATCAACAATCATTGAACCTTGTTCTGTATGCCCTATGTATTTTATAAAAGCTATCATATCTCACAAAATAAAATAAATACTGTACACGTCCTTTAAGCAAAACGTTCCCCGTCCTTCCCATTCACAGTGTGTATAGAATGGACTAAATGGTGCAATACAGTTTTCTAACATTAGGCAGCAGTATTGTACAAGTGGTGAGTTTGGTAGGCCTTAGTTTTTTTTCAGATATGTGGAAAAAACTGCTGTATGGCATCAGTAAATGTGCTGTACCTCAGAGCAGCTATAGATCAGGATTGGAAACGTAACATGTCCCTCTCTGAGGCTGCTGTCAAGATCAATTTACTAAAGCATCAATAATCCAGGATGCATTTGGGAGTTATCCAATATAAATCTTTTTCAGGCTGCATATTTTTATACTGGGATATTTAATATTGTTCAGGATGATGATACATTAGTTGAAGTGTCCTGGTGTTATTAAATAAACGACACAGAAACTATCACTTTAGCACTGCTGCACAAAGCACTTCCTGTAATTCTATTTCTCTTAAAAAAAAAAAAAACACACACAATAAAAAACAGTTTTAACCCCAGCATGAAGTCTTTCACAATGAATTTCAGTCCCACTCAAAACTGTATCATTACCTTCCATATACCTCACTTGAGTGGCCGCTTTTAATTATTAAACCATTCAGAGCGAGAAAAATGATAGCTCATTACTTTTTACTACTTCTGTGTGCTGTGCAGCATCTCCACTGGGTGTATATCAGGAGGCAGCAGAACAGAAAGTGGAGAAATGTCAGGGAAACAGTGAGAAATCTCTCATTGTAACCCTCCATATAATATTATGGCCCCTATAGGGGGCTGGCCTTTACACAGCATGTATGGTGATATTTTTATTAGTCCATCATCATTTATAGTCCACTGTCCTTTATTGGGATCATTTAAATTCAACATTTTTGAAGGCCATACTCACTAAAAAGGGAAAAGGTGTAGCTCATTTTCCTAATTATTTTAGTTTTTACTGCATTCAAACTGTCTACAGAGCTTATAGTCTTTTTTAGGTGTACACGTATGCATGACTGACTATGTGTATGAGATTCTGACTGGAGTGTTTTTCCATTTCTGACTGTCTTTATGTTTGTCAGTGTATCTTTCCAACTGACTTTACTCATGAATATTTATCCGGACTTTTAAGGAGCGTAGTTTTTGGGCCGTATCATCATCTTGACCGTTTTGAAGGCCTGCCTGTAGTTGGTGGGGTAGTACTCCGTTGACATGTTGTGCCATGTTCCCCAAAAGATCCCGTTCCTGACCCCCTTGTACCTCTTGTGATAGTACTTCCCATTGAGGTTGGCGGACATGCAGGCGTCAAACCACCAGCCGGAGCTGTAATAGGCGCCACAGTTTCCGGAGGGGTACATGTCGTTGTCGCGGTCGGGCGTGGAGAACAACTTCTGGTCGTGGTTGAAATGCTTGTTGAAACTGATGGCGTTCCCAGCTGAGCCACTAGAATGACAAGTCAATTATATAAGATTAAGCCCTCCTTTTTGGTAATATGATCTCATATGCATGCACTCAAAGAATCAGATATTGTACCTGTATCCACTGATAGACAGCCGGTAGCGCAGAAACTCATTAGCCACGTAGAACTGGTCATATTTAGCAGACTCTCGAACCCCCTCAAAGTCTTCCAGCTCGATACGCAGGATCATGTCTTTGCTTTGGTCATCAAGTGGATATGATCATTGCCCAGCCAGAACTCACCTCTACAGCAGAGGAAAAAGTAGAGAAAGGAGGGAGAAAAAACAATGAGCACTGAAAGATGGATTGTGAACGGGCTTCTACACTTGATTAGAAAATGCACACAGTAGCTTCAACTGAATGTATTCCTCCGAGCAGGTGAGAAGAGAGGAGACGGTGATGTGACAGTAAAAGAAATATAAGAGGAGACATTACTCTTTCAGTGGGAGGTTATACTAGATCTGTAGGCATGGTTATCAAGAGGTGTCTAGGGTTATTTCCCTCGTAAAATTCAGCCAGGAGGGGAGAGGTAGATAACAAAAATGAATCATGTGATAGTAGAGTGCTGCAATAACGGAATAGAGGCAGTGTTGAAATTTAGCTTTCCTTATATTTTTATTGGGTCCTGCTTCCAAAATATAACTATTTGTAATTTTCCTTTTGAGCTGAAATCAAAACTTTGACAAAAGTTTGCTCTAAATTAAAATCTTTTAGTTCTATTTCAGTGGTGAACTTCGTTGTTCTTGCGTGTGACAGTCAGCGACAGTGAGAACAGGTGTGACTAATCAGTCAAAGTGACAGCAGGTGTGCTTCCTTAAGTCTACTCAGTGCTGAGGGACTGGGCACTCTCAAGTGGTGGGGGCAAGTGTGAAGCTGTTTTTTTAACAAATGCATTCTGTTAAAGTTCCAGCACGGTTGGGTCTCTTTTGGTGCTAATAGATACAATGTGCTTGTCATAAGTAACATTAGAATCCTTAATTAGTGTTGTATCCTAGATGATTTATTTTTTAAAAGGTTTGAGTCAATTAAGCTCGCTCCTTTTGTTAACTAAGCAGATGGTAGGTTCCAGTAAAGTGTGTCTGAGAAGATAGTTAAATAACCAGTTTCTGGTCCATGGATGTGGGAGAGTATACGATAACTTTCTCAGTGGATGTTTTGTTTGTAGCAGTTGAGTTTGACTTTTGAATGGTTTTGTTAAATGGTTACTCAGGTGTTTTAGAATACTATCCTTTAAAGGCATAGTGATTTATAATATTAAAAGGTGCTCCAGTGCCAAAAAACATCAACTGTCTTGTCAATTGGGTTGGTAGCACTACAGTCATCCAAAAAAGTCCATATAAAAACTCCTCTCTTTTCTACCTTTGTCCTGTTTGAATATTTAATCATGCAAACAAAAAATCAAGTAAACACATTTCTCAAATACTATGTGCACTATTTAACAATGATGTACATTTTTTCAAAGAAAACAAAAGAATAAAAGTTCAGTTTTGCTGGAGGCTTTTATAACAGCCTCTTCTATCCAAGACTTGACAGGCTCTAGCCTGAGCCTACAGTTTTTCCAAATCTTTTGACATCTCAAGATAGGTGATCCTAAATGATACCCGAGCTGGTTACCTGAGGTTCCCGAAGCCTTTCTTATACTCTGTCCATGTGCGATTGAAGCTGACAGACCCATCAAGCCGCTGCTGTATCACGGTCCATCCCCCTCCATAAGACTCCATGTCGCAGAAGACCTCAAATGTCCCGTTGCGGGGATCAGGGGTCACGCGGTACACTCCATTCTTCCTCGCCTCCAGCACATTGTAGTCAGAACAGTCCCGAGGGGCCAGGATGACTGTTGGAAGGCAAAGAGAATGAGGATAAAAAGAAGAAGAGGGCAGTATTTAAGGGCCATTTGGTGTATCATTTTCAATCTTTTATATGGCACCTCTCTGCCTCAACCATGAGGCATTAATAGAAAAAGCCCCTGAAGCTAGGGATAGGAAAAGAGAATGCGATAAGTTAGCGCAAAATCCGGCTTTAACCATTTTGGATGTTCTCATTTCTGCATTAATTTCCGGGGCAGTTTATTCCATCACAAAGTAGTTCAGCATGTTCTTTAGCCAATCTGTTACCAGAATATTCCCGGGTTCCTCGAGGGATCAAGCTCAAGTTGAGAAGGCATCAAGGCATTAATCGCAATCCAAGCATTTTAGACAAACTTTAGCCTATCTCCCAGTCCTCAACATAATGTCCCCTTCAAAAAAATCACACTTTGTATCCGACATGAAAGCAAATAAAGTACAAAAGCTACTTTTGGAGGATAAAAGTCATTGACCTTCCCCTGTGCTGCTCCACAGGCCCATTTCATCAAGCCTCGCTACTTTTCCAAGATCTTTTCCCTAATTTCTTTTTATACCTGCTCACTTACTTTGCAAACTCCTGCTCCTGTCCCCTGTGTCGCGCTGCAGGCCACTGACCCTAACCAGTAACTGAGGTCCAAAGGCCCCTGTCAGTTAGCATTTGGGAATTGAAAGGAACAGACTTGTCAAAACGTGGGAAAGTGTAAAAGTGGATTAGAGAGGCGTACCCCCTCCCTGCATGTTCGGCACCTGGGGCTAAAATCATCCTGACATTGGGCAGGCTGCATGCAGAGTTTGTTTGGCGCACTCCGCTGCTGATACAGTTTTGTCACGCTGTTAAATCTGTTTAGGCGTTTGGTAGATTATAAAAAGAGCAAGGAAAAGGGGAGGGGGGCACTGATTACAGAAGCCCAGACGTCAGGTTTCTTTGAGTACAAGCAGGGAAGTCTTGACAGAAAAGTGTTTCCTTGAGTGCCATCATGGTGCTTTCGAGCCTTTAGTGCAAGGTTAGACATTTGTTTTCCTTTTAAAGATTAAATTAGAAGGCAATTGTAACCACTGTAGAAGAAACGTCAAAACTAAAAAGCACCTTAAATGTCTTAAATTGCTTTGACTCTTCAGCAATCTACATTCTTTATATTTACCCATTTTTGACAAGGTACAGAATGGCAGCAGATCTAGAAGGCAGTCTTGAAGTTAAGTGTGAGGTCAAAAATATAACCCTTGTCTGCCTTGCATTCAAAATACAAATTATTTCATCTATTCCTTCCTTTTAAGTATCTGAAAGTCGTTCCTCCTTCGCATCTTGCTCTACTAATTTGTCCCCATCTGTCCAACCGGACCTTCAGTATGTCAGGACAGACAGGAGCCGTCTCATCTAACTACCTCTGGCACTTTGCCTGACCTAAATAACTGTGATATCAGCCTCTTACTGATGACTTGCTGCCTGATTTGCTTTCAGACTGTTGAGGCGGCTGTTGAGACAAATGAATGGTTAATTGGGTGGCTGATTACTCTGCCTGCTTTCTTGCCTGCTAACTAACTTCCATAAGAGATTAAAGGCTGATTACTGGCCTGCTTTAATAGACAACCCATTGTTTTAAAACCACATTGCTTGCTTGACTGACTGCACACAGATACATGATTGGCATAAAAGGAAGAAGACTCTTATCGGGAAAACATTCCCTGTTGTTGACTTAGATTAGCAGCTGTACTGGAAGGAAACACCTATCCAAAGTGATAGAATAATCTTTCCCCACAAACACGGCTTGTATTGAATACCGCTGTCTGTTTTGACAGAAACTCCCGTGAAAAAGCAACACTCTTCCTCGAGGAAGTTGTGCGCAGTCGAGCAGTTCCTGACAATGTGTCGGACGGGGCATCCATTCTCTTTGTTTATAATTGAGTTAATGTAGCTGAACAGCAACAAGAATTGCTATCCATTCACCTCAAGGCCCTTGTATGTCTTGCAGGAGTGAAAGTGAAGAGTAGTGTTTAGGGCAGGGTCGGGAAATTGGCAAAGAGGTTGGAATAAATGCTTACAAGGCTGTGAGTGATAAAAGCATCTTGACAAACGTACTTGACGGTGAAATTGCATTCCGACATTACTGAAATGTCTAGCTAATGTATGCCAGTGTTGCACTAGCTTATGCCCTGTTGTGTTTTTAAGCTTGGTGCAGAATCGTTTGAGTAAAGGAAGGGAAAAAGTGTGTCCTTAAATGCCTTTTTGTTACCCCACTGAGTGTAAATGTAGTTTGAACTGTCTGAGTACTGTAGCCTAATGAGCTGTACTAGTGCAGCTACTTTATAAATCCCTGTACAGTGTTTGCAAGTGGTTTACATTTGTTCTTGAATGACCCCTCGCCATGGATCCTATCCACACAAAGAAATCTGCCTAAGACCACTCCAAATAACATTATCTAGTTTAATATTCATTAGAGTTAAATACTTTTAAGACATGCCTGCATTTCCTGCTTTCAGTGAAAACAGCATTTCATTTGGTTTGTGCAAATCTCTATTTAACAAGTAATTAGATTAATGATTCAGCGTCAATTTGGCAGCTGGATGGTTTCAGTATTCAGGAGTCAGGAGAGCCATTACGCCATGAATTGCTTCACTAAGCACTTTTCACATTGTGATAAATAACTGGAAAGTATTTTTCACTATAAGTCCTTTTGCACTGTGTGGAGGGAGGGACATAAATTTGGAATAGTTTTAAAGTTTAAATGGGAAATATATCGTTTTTGAATGACTCATGTTATTTTTCTTTATATGTAATGGATCAAACATTTCTTAATCTTTTTCCTTATGCCTTTTCAAGCATGTTAGAGTTACTTGAGCAAAACAGCAATCACATCATTTATATCCATGTTGCAAAACTGCAGATCTCTTATCAGTATTTTGGTGAGTTTCCATGAAAACAACAGCTGTCTCCTGTCTTAATCCACTTAATAACAAACCGGCACTATTTTTTCTGACTTGCAACAGAATGAGCTGCATCTTCTTGAGTTAAACATGAAGGATTGATGTACAAACACAAACGTTTCCGACCCTGCGTGCCATCCGTGACTAATGTCGGGAAATCGGCCCACATTACTCCTTGTGTCATCGTCGAGAGATAATGAGAGCGAGTTGTTTTATGCAGGAATGAGCACTCAAGAGCATGACCTCCAGAGGAAGAGAGAGGCAGGGGGTAGAGGCAGAAGTAAGGCACTCGGAAAGGGGATTAAAAAGAGAGGGAGATTGGGAACGTAACAGCAAGTGAAGTGAAAAAAGAGTTAAGATACGACAGGAATGATGGAGAACAGAGGATAAATGTAAAAGGGAAAGAGGACAAGATCTTAGGGAGAAGGAGAGGCAAGTTTAGGAGAGAAGAAAACACAGTGGAAGATGAAGAAAGCCGGGATTCCCTTCACACCACTGTCCCAGCTAATCTACTTAGAAATAAGCTTGCATGTTTTCAACATAAAAGCCCCAATATAGTGTCACATTCACTCATGCAATACCAGGATATAATTCAGTTTCAGACTGAAAAGAAGCCTGCCTTTCAACTGCGCCCTCATCCAAATAAGCTTTTACATTAATGTAAAGTAGATTGTTTGTGATGCTCGGCTAGTTTGAGATACCGTTTTTGAAAAGTCTCCATCATTAGTCTCCACTAGTAATCTTTCCACTCCCTCTTTACAGAGTGAAGAAACCCTTTATACATGTTCTCACCATGAAGTCAAGGAGTCTCTGTTTCTTTCATTTTTATCTCTCCCCTCTTTTTGAGTTTGTCCATATGGAGAGTATAAGAATGTGAGAGCACTTGAATTTGTTATATAAGGGGTAATTTGATTTCTCACTTTGACCCTAGTTGTCATACTGCTTCACTCGTGCAAAGCATGACCTCAACCTCAAAGTTATTTTGCTGTCGTGATTTTTGCTATGGCTGCACTTAGCCATATGAGGCACTACTAAGAAAAATGTAAAGGACATATAGATGGTGCTTTACCCACACTAGCATAAAAATATTTTTTTCCATATACTTGATTGAGAAGGCATGTCGAAACAAAAACAGAAAAGACTCTGTGTACTTTAGTGTAATTGTCACCCGATGATTTCACTTCCCTTTTCCCAGAAAAGAGAGGCCACATCGGGTGAAGGTGAGCCCCCAGAGCTGGGCCATTTGGACTGATTACTGAAGTCACCATGTTCACTTAGGAGTGATTGGATTGATTCATGCCAGAAAAAAATCTCCTAGCAACTACCCAAGATGACAGACTTACCTGTTATGTGCTGAAGGATTTTACATCCAACATATGTGGTGAATAGGGATGGGCATCACAGTGTAACTCACGATACGATGCTTAACAATACATTATGATACACTATGCGATATGTTGCCCATTATAACGATTACATCACGATACAGTGATTATACAATGATTACTGTTTTCCAAGAAGTTCATACAATGCTGCATGAAGATATTTGATCAGCTGAAGAATATAAAATTACCCTAAAAAGATTAAGGGCAGGACTAATGTATTTATTTACTGCAATTTGGTGTCAGTTTCACTTCTTATCATGCTTCATCATGTAACTTGTTTTCTTTAATGTCTGAAATTATCCCTCTGTCATCTCCTTTCATCCCCTTGCCAATTGCTTCTTTGGCCAAATAACTTCCGTTCACATTACCCTTAATTATGTCGGAGGCGACGTTGTGAGGAATCATGAAGAAGTGACGCCAAAGTGAGCCAAATTGGCAGTGAAATTTGTTTAGAGTGCCATATTCTTTTTCAATTAAAAAAAAAAAATCCATCCTTGGCAACAGTGATTCGATGATTGGATCACACAAGTCAGGACGACCATATTTTGCCGTACTGATATTTTGTCCCACCCCTAGTTTTAATTTAAAGGGAATGGAAAGCAGCAAAGAGAAAATAAGCAAATAGAGGAAGGGTGTCATGAAAATAAGAAACATGAAAAGGAGAGAGGGGGGAGGGGAGGCATCTTTTTGAAATAGGAAAGATGGAACAGAAATAACGCAACAGAAACACAAATGGGGGTGGGGGTTCAGCCAAAGAGAATACATGTATACTGAAATGCTGAAAGGAAAGATTGTTGTTAAAGACAAACTAATTATATTGAAAGCAGCCTTACATTGAGGTGTGTTCTGCACTGCACACTGGCTGGTGCAGGTGGAACTGAGCTTGTTCACCACTCCAGTGATGTTCTCCACCCTCCTGTCCACCATGGCCTGCACATTGTCCATGTTGAGCAGGTTGATCCCCTCCAGACGGCCCTGCAGAGCCGAGATCTGGCTCCGGGCGTTGCGCAGGCTGGCTGACATCCTATTCAGCTTCACCTGGGAAAGGCCGGAGCGATGAGAGAGAATGACTTGTGTGCACAGAATACAAAGCAGGTGGATTAACTGAAGTCACCAGCCCTCCTTCATTGTTTTTTACCATCCAATTAGAATGGTAGAATACAAAACGAGTCTGCATGATGGTTGGCCGTCTGCCAAAGTGGCTGTGAGAGTCAACAAACTAAGCAGACAGAGCAAAAATTGACCGCCGTTTGGCTGCTGTCTGACGCTGATTATCCACCCTGTTTACAAACCAGGAATTTTCCCTGGTGGATGGGTGCCCGGTAGGACTTTACAGGTCCTTTTAACCTGTTTACATTACAGCTGGGTACATTTGGCTGAACAGAGTCAGGTGACATAGTTCCTTCAGTGTTTCTAGAGCACATTCTTTGTTTAATTTGTTTAAATCAGAGTTATAAAACTGTTAATGATGCTGGGTTACTCAGTTACATGGTTTTCTCTGAAATACAGAACCTGGTGCAGCGCCACTGGACTGTTCGACTATATCTTTTTGTGGGACAGTTTAAACATTTTCTATTTCCTGTCCTGATTTAGGATTGGATGACTAAGCACACTGCTAACTTTTATCAACATTTGTCAGAAGAAATTCTTAGAATAAAGAATAATGAATTTATAAAATACATGCACATTGCATTAAACCAGAATGTTTGAGAAAACTGATCTTATCCCTTTGTAAAATCCTGCTTATTTCAATCAGGTGTTTATTATTAATGTCTTTACTTCATTCTGTATTTAAGACCGTACTTCATACCTGCATCTCTTGCATAGTGCTCGGGCTCGGTGTAATCTTCCCAAAATTAGAGCCTTGTCCTGGTCCAGCAACATCCACAGTAGCTCCAGGGACCATCCCATCTCCCCTCTCTTCCTGACTGGACCCACCTAGCCCTTCCTGTCCCGTCAGGTCCAGCCTCACTTCTCCAGTGTCCCTCTGAATGGGGAACTGTCCCTGGTCCGCTTGCTGATTTCCAAAAGCTCCATTGCCTCGTGCTGTGCCGCGACACTCCTGGCACCCGCTCTTCAGCTTGTTCACCACCTCCTTCAAGCTCTGCAGCTCCTTCATTGTCTTCTCCAGCAGCCTGAACTGCTTGGGCAGCTGGATAGTGAGGGGAGGCAGGGTGAGCTGGTAAGGGCAGTCGTCCCCGTCCTCTGCCCCGACCCCAGAGGTCCCGCACTGGCCGGATGGTCTCAGCTTCATGTGACAGGAGGAGGGGGTACCAGATTCAGATCCCAAAGGAAGAGTTCCTCTAACATCCCATCTCTGGTGTGAGTTGACGGCAAAGTCCGCTGCCCAGCTGGCTGTCAGCAGGAGACCGGCAAAAACGCAAATCCCAATTGTCCTCATTCTCTGAGTGAGATTTCAGATGGAGAAATAACTGTTTTTAAAGTCAACGTGTGTGCAGCTGCTTCTGATATAACCTCAAAACTCTCTAAATGCAGATAGCAGTGTGAGTGTATATCAGTGCCTGCAGCTGTAGATTAAAAGTATAGGAGTATGTGAGTGTGTGTCCAGTATCCTATTGGTTTGCGGTGTGTGTGTGTGTGTGAGAGTATGTGAATGAGCACAGCCTGCAGGAGAGAGAGCGCGCAGGGGAACTGCCGCTGCCTCAGATAGCTGTGTCATTAATATCAGGACGCGTTAGGGAGGGAGGGGGAGAGAGAGATAGGAGGGAGCGAGAGAGAGAGAGATGGGAGGGGCAGCACTATTGCGTAATTCTAAGCACCATATCAGCAGCATTGTGGAAAAACCACAGAGATGCAGGCAAAAATGTTTGGAGGAGAGGGGGAGAAAAAGGGGCAGGAAGAAAAGGAGGGGGGGGTGCTTTGCCTGCAGTCAGTGGACGGTCCCAACTTCTGTCCTGCCAACTTTGAAGTCAGTACATTTCCCTGAAGAGCAAAATGAGTCAGTACACAGGAACTATCCAGTCAATTCACATTTAAGACACAATTTTGTGAGTTGTCATCATCTGACCTGGTTTAGAGTCAACTGAAAAAGCTGTTTCAGCTCTACCAGTAACTGTCCTGTTGTGAATTATGCTCAGGTGGACACAATCACTGTGAAATCAATGGTTAGCCAGCAGCAACAATAGAGAGGGTTTGTTTCAGTAAGTATAACATCTTGTTTTATGGAATTACTCAGGATGTTTAAATTAAGAACAAGAATCCATAAGAGACTCCTGATAGATACCTTGTTTGTTTATAAATATTCATATGCACCACCAGACAAACAATTAACTTTGAATCTGCATTCAGATTTCCCTTCTGGATATTTTGCAGATGCTTAGTCGGCTTAATTATGTTAAAAGTAATATGCATCTTCTATGGTTTTCTTTAAGTTTTGAAACAGTGTCTTTTATCTGACACTATACTGTTCTGTGTTGTGTCAGAGAACATGGACGGAAATGGCACGGCTGCTCTTCATTTCAAGCGTGAACAAAATATGGAAATTATAAAACCATTTTAGCGAAACACCTGCATCATGTTCCTGAAATAAATGCAAAACATCCTCTATCTAGTGTGTGTATACAGTATATATATTATTTTCAACTAAATGGCTCTGCTGGCTTAAACCACCTTGCTGGCTGTCGATGTGGATGGCATTAATCAAAGCTGTATGCCGCTTGTACTCATTTGTTTCTTTTGAATTATTTTCTAGCATTTAGCTCTCTGAGACACACAGCAGCTCTGTGTTGTTTGTAACCTTGGCATTTGACAATGACATTTGTAATTATAAATGTTTCAGAAAAGTTTTTTTTACGACCCTAAAAAAGAAATAATACGAATCAGAGTGTATCCTGAAAATGAATTTGATCTACAATACTTTCACAAGTCTACCCAATAATGCCATGATTCGTTTTTAATCTTTCTCCATAGAAAACTTAATTAAATAGTCATCAAAAACCATATAAATTTGAGTTTGAGTAGTTTGAGATATGCAACAAAGCAAAGAGACAATAACAACGTCATGAATAAACAATACACTTGTTTTTGACTGTAATGATGTGGCAATGTTGTGGGCTTTTTGGTCGCCATTGCACCAATAGTATCCCACAAATATTATACATACTTGTGGCAGTTTTTTACGAGGCGTCGTCTTAATAAATCAATTGTTTGTTCAGCAAAGTCAGCATCTCTTTTCGATTCACATCCTCACACAGTGACTGTAGATTCTGGATGTTGGCCCACTTGGAGTCTTGTTGTAAACTTGATTATTTGTTTGTAGGACATGGCTTTTTGTTTCTGTGTATCATGTGATTTATAGCAACAGGTCATGTAATTGGATTCTTGTTTTGTTTGGATAACAATATCTCATGCACATCTCATATTTCCAGAGAAGTGACACAGTTTTCCATTAATGGGTTTCATCTTCAGAAGTGGCTCTCAGCTCCAGAAAGGAAAATAACACTGCACAAAAAAAAAAAAAAAAACTTGTAACAAAGTGATTCTATCAAGCTGTAGGCTCGACTCCAATTCAAACTCTCAATATCGGGACATATAGGAGAGAGAAATGGTTTTTCACTCCATCACACAGTGGAATTCAATGCTGTGCTTCTCTGGTCATTATTTTTTTCTCCCTGAGGGTGCAGAGTTTTAAAGCCTACAGGTTCTTTTTGTTACCCAATCCACCCCACACACACACACACACACACACACACACACACATACAGTACTGCTGCTATGCTGTACAGATCACATGCTCCCTTATGTGTGCGTGTGTGTTTAGTAAAAGCACAGGTATCATGTGTGTGTCCATGTGCCTGCATTAATATCTTCCAGTCATTGTCTGTCTCACTTCAAAGATGGTCTGCCACGTGTGAGCCCTTTGCAGCAATCCCATACGGAAAAATACTCTATACTGCTGAAGATAAGTGTTGGCAGCAGAATTAGAGAGGCTGCCCGAGACCGCTTCAGGCTGTTTCTTCTCAGATAAATGCCCGGTGTACGGCCAGGAAGTCTGTTGCAGCCCTGGAATGTCATCCACACTGCTGAAAGCATGACAGCGGCCATATTCGATGTGTCAGGCAGCCTCGACATCTGATTTAAATTCTTCTTTTTGGTTCCTAAAGAGTCACTATAAGATGATATGACTAAGGTTGCAATTAAAGACAAGTTAAGACCAGATGATTCTCTTTACATTTCTAGATGTAGAGTCTGAGAATTAGAAGTGTTTTAAATGCAGATCATGTAATATCATGCAGCTGTTTCCTCTTGTAGTGACCTGACCTTGTCGAACACAAACAGACTAAAAAACATCTGAACAAATCATATTAACCACAGCGCTTATCTGCAGCATTCACAACAATAATATCTTTGTCCTTTTGAGCCCTTGAAACGTGGTCGAGCACATTTTGACAACAGTGCGGTAAACACTGTAATGGAATGAATCTATGAACGTAATCGGCTATAGCTAATGTTTGAAGTAGGGGTGAGTTATCAGTCCGCGCGCGTGTGTGTATAATCAGAGCGTATGTGTGTGTTCATCGCCGTTATTCAGTCCGACCTGAGATATCCTCTGTTCTGCAGCGCTGTGATACAGAACGGGCTATCCCTCATCACTTCCCCCCACCCCCCCACCCCCACTTGTCCAACCTGGTGGTGAAGATAAGAGGAGAAAAACACCTGTCTTCTGTTTCCATCATTGCTGCACACACACAACCGCACACAGAATCTTGCCTTGGAGAGAAATTAACAACACTTAGTGATAGTTTGGTCTTTTGGCAATGCTGTTGACCTGATCTTTTCTTTGATTGTGTTTTTCTTCAGAGCATTATATATTTTTTTTTATCAACTTTTCCAAATTACATCAAGGCTAATGGTCCCTATTACCTCAAGAATTCTATCTACTTGTCATTAGGCAGCCAATTTAAAAGATTCTCCTTCCCCTTTTGAGATTTCTGCAGATGGTTTTTGTTTTTCAAACTTCATTCTGTGGTAAGGTGCTCTGATACTGTGATACCTGCTGTGCTGATAAAAGTGTGTTCAGCTCAGCTTAGGGTAAATCTTTACAGACATCAGGGAGTTGGGTTTCCTTTGTTGGCTAGTCCAGACACACATAAAAGGGCTTTTTCATACACCAGTATAAGCGCAACTAAAATGAATCATTTTTTTCATCATAAAAGGTTCAACTTTCATGAGATTTCAGACTCTTGCAGTCTCTAGTGATTTAGGTTTCTTTGGTCTTACTCCTGACGTTTAATTTTAGTCTCAGAAAAATTTTAACAAAACTGCTTGGTAGTTAGAATCTTTTGTGGTTCTTTGCAATATTGCCGTATTGAATATTTTCTCCTGGAGGAACAGCGCATTCTAGAGAATATACTTTCATTCATGTACAGAAAACTCTGAGGGAAGACTGAGAGTCCAAAACGTATGGCTTAACCAACATCTATTTAAAATGAAAGTCTAAAACAAAGATTTCTGTCCAGTTTTTTTGACCCGGAATTATTTTGTAGCACTTGTCATTTTGTCCATATCTGCAAAAATGAATGAAAGACTGTCTCAGTTTAGTGCTTGAACTCTAAAGATATGCACTAATATGCAATTAGTTGCTAACTTATCTCAATAAAGTTAAAGACTGTAGATGTTGATGTTGGACTGGAGGAGTTTATAAATTCCAGCCACCAATGTTATGCTGACAGAGTGTTCAAAAATGTTGTTTACAATCTTAAAATATACCTTAGAAGGGATACAAAGTCATTTATTTATGGTACTTCATGCAAATGATTCTTTAAAAAGTCTTCTGTGTGTCCATGTGGTTGATAATATTTTATATTTTTGTGCTTCTCAGTTGTTGTTGTCTGGCCAAATCAGTCAGACCAAAGTGGCCAAACTGAAATCCAGCTACAGACTTCTCCATGATGATCTAAAGAGGTATGTTTTCCTGTTCGAACAAAATGCCACTGTTTCATATTGAAGGTGCATTACGCCTGCTAAGATGCTGGGAATACAGCACAGTGGGGACGTCCAATTCTTGTGACAGCCAGAATCCATCCACCTCAAGTGTCCTTGAAAAGTACTTTAACTTCTTATCAGATGTAGTTGTGCACCTCTCCTATGTGGCTCGAAAAAAAAAAAATAGAAATAGCATCTCATCCCATCAGCTATTGGCTTCTTAAGATGCAGTTTGAAACCTTCATTGGATGTCATTCCTGACTCACTGGAATCCTTAGAAAAAGGAGCAGAAGAGCAAAAAAGACTGTTGTAGCCGGTTCCAAAATACATTTCTTTTTAAGCTCCATGAAATTCTTAATGAAACGCTGATTCTGAAAATTGCAACCAAGGCACATAATGGAGGAAGTGAAATTAACTTTTCGGGCCCCAATTTGCATGTGGAAACAAGACGGATCTTTCTGTAATTTCTTGTGAAAACAAGAGAAGAAAACCAGGCATGTTTAATTGTATTGGCACAGTTCTACAAAGTCCTATCTTAAAAATCAGGAAATATATATATTTTTTTTACATGCATATTGTACAAATACATGTCTTTATCTTAGTAATTAGCTTTTTTTCCCCCTCATAGCTGCTTTTCAGCTTCCTGAATTTCCATTTTATCTTGTTGTATAAATAAATAAAAAATGATTTGCCAATATTAATATTTTGAATT